AATTCGAGTTGAACCCGGATTAACTGGTCCTGGCGCTTGATGCCATTCCCGTGTCGACGGCCGGCGCGAAGTGGAGCAAATCTGTGTGTGTAGAACGTAGGGTGGCCTATCGTTCTGCAAACAGCTGTCAGGCTGAGTATTTGCCGCACACGACAAGCCCAAGCCCAAACCATGACGACGCCGCAGGCACCGCCGCACCACCCCTGCCCTGATCGCACATCTCGGAATGGCTCTTCCAGATCACCGTCAATCCGAACGAACCCAGTTTAGTTGGAGGATCACCACAATGGCATCACCCATCACTACGATTCATATTCTGCTTAGTGCGGAGGGCTGCCTGCCTGCAAGTTCCGACGATGGCTTGGCGTATAAGATCCAAAGCCACCGCAACGACGACCATGAACACGCCCGTCTTCCTTGCCGCTGTAGTGCGGCCTGATTCACTCTCGAAATGCCTCTGCGCCGGACTGAACTGGCCGCTTCCTCGGTTCTGGGCAGGCGCGATACGACGTATGGCCTCTTCGGCAACGTCACCGAATCTGAAGCGGAGGACGCAAAGTATGTGTTGGATGAGATCTTGGTGTCGGGGTACCAGAACATAGTGGTGTCTATGTTGTTCAGTGCGTGTCCAGGCATCTGAGAGCATGGGCGTCACTCATGTTTCGCAGCGTTACTCACCCTTGCATTCTTCATGACCGTGCGGTACCTACTGTGAGTAGCTCTAGTATGAGTACATCCCACGGCATGCTCATCGCTGTCTTCACAGAGCAGACGGCATGCGTCGACGATCCAACAAATGGATGTTAGCGGCTCTGACTCTCATGTACGGATGCGCCGTCGTGAGCTACAGCTTCAATCTTCTCGGCTTCCGCTTGAGAGTCAAGGCGGCTACCTCCAACTTCACTGGGCGCTACATCGAACACACCAGTAACCTTGAAGCAGCCACGGACATCGGGCAGTATATTCTGCAAGGCCTGAGTGTGAGCTTGTATCATATTGCAGAGAATTAGGATACTGAACACCACTCTAGATCTTATGCGGAGACCTGGTCATCTTGTGGCGTACGGCCGTTGTGTGGCATAATAGTGCTGTCATGCGGAGGTTGAACTATGCATTCTTCATCCTCATTATCCGTGAGTAGATCCACAGCTGTTCGGTAGCTTGGTTCGCTGATGGGACCTTCAGTGACTTGGATAGCCGGCGTAGCCATCCTTGCAACGTTCGGCCTCCAGTTTCTGCTCATACCCCTGGCGCTCTCTTTGACGGTCAATATATGGAGCACCGCCGCGATAGGATACAAGACATGGTGCGGTGGACGAGCAGGCTCGCACTATATCCAGTTGCTGATGAGTGAACAGGCATCGGCGTCGCATGCTTCGGCAGCAGATCTTCATGGCCGGTCGTTCCTCCGTCTCCGCCGTCGAAGGCGCGCTTGCGGTGCTCACAGAGACAGGGATAGTCTACACTGCGCTATGGGTAAGACTCGCGAACCACAGATGTCATGGCAACTGCGTACTGACGTGTAGTTCGCAGGTCATCTACGTCTCCATCATTGCTGCCTATTTCTTCTCGCCTACGGCGTACGAGGAGATCGCTCTGGACCGAGGATTCCAATGGACATGGATGATCATGAGCATGTTGATCGTACGTCCTCTTCTCTTACCAGTCTCGCTCGGCGCTCATCCTCCTCCCAGCCTCTCTATCCGACATCCCTCATCCTGCTCATCGCTCGCCACAAGACGCCACTATCAGAGACGCTAACATCGATCGACGTCAGTACCGCCGTTGCTACAAGCTCAACAGCGAGCAGCACCGCAGAGGATGTCGAGCTCCAAGCGGTGCCGGACCCTGACGATAAGATCGGAGACGCGTATTACGACCCTTATGCTGGTGCTGCTCCTGCTGTCCCCGATGCGAGAACTTCTCTGCGCTTGGAACCTAATAGAAGACGATAGCACTATGTAAGATACACTCATCTGTACGATATGTATGCATGCATGCTAGGGTGGGACACGCAGTAGGTCATCCGCCCTGTAATCGACGCTATTCGCGCGCGCGGGACATCTTAGTCGCATGCGGCTTATGACGGTAGCTGTATCGACGAATGGAAAGCTCCACTAACGAGGCTGTCGGATGAATACGAATGTCCGGTAGAGTACATGTAAGCAGGCAGGAAAGCAAGTACAAAGCGGTATAACAGCGAGAACGCAAGGCAGATTCGACTAGTCGTCGTCACTTTGGTCCGCCAGGAACGCGGCGATCCTCGCTCTTGCGGTCTGTAGAAAGATGTCAGTCGCGCTCGACAGCAGATATGGCATCCTCGATGGTCACTGACCATACGTTTAGCCGCGGGCGCCTCCTCGTCGCTCTCTTCTTCAGCTGGCTGAGGTTCTGCCCCGCGCTTCTTGCCCGTAAAGGCCTTCTCAAAGGTCTGCACGTCCTCTACAAACTGACGTTAGGCATACGTAGATATGAAGTGGAAGTAAGTAACGTACGAAGCTCGCTTGCTAGTTCACGCCGTGCCTTGATCTCCTTCGCCTGAGCCACAGTAGGGCGCCCCGTCATGCCCAATTCACGTAGGATTGTCTCGAGCCGCGCAATCCGCTGTGAGGGTTTGTCGAGGTCCTTGAACTCCTTCGCCCATACTTTGCGGACACCACATTCGCGTACGTAGCTCTGCAGAATGAGGTGGTAAGTATATTACAGCGAAGACGTTCAGGATAGCCCTCAGCGTACCTTCAGCCTCTCGATCTTCTCTTCGTTCTTGTTGAGCGGCTCCTTCGCTTTCCCTCTACTCTTCTTGGGCTCCTTTGACGCTTTCGGCGTCGGTTTAGCCTATCGAGTCGTTGTCAGTGAATACCGATGGGTCTGAAACGCGAGAAGATCGGAGTTAACGTACCGCCTTGCTCTTGCGGCCTTTCTTGGGCGGCTCGTCCTCCAGGACGGACAACTCGGAATCGCTCTTCGGCTGGTTGAGCGAATGTGAGAGGGGTCAGAAACATGAGAGTGAACGTAATCGTACCTCAGCCGCTTTCTCTACAACCTCGGCCTCGTCATCGGATGCAGGCTTTATAACTTTGGCTTTCTTGGCAGGCGTGGGCTTTGCCTTCGCTGGTGGCGCATCTTCAACTTTAGTAGACGATGATCCCGACTGATAAGATAACGGAGGTGTAAACAATCTGAACGAAGAGCTAATCCAGAAGTCATTACCTTTGGAGCGGCTGTATCGTCGTCATCACTGTCTTCGACGAATTCCTGTGGTGTACTCATCAGTTAAAGCGAAACCACAAGGTAGATATATGCGTACCGCAGATGTGAACTTCTTCTGCTTAGACGATCTTCGAGTAGATTCAGGACGAGCACTGGTCGGCTTCTTGGACGCGGACTTGCTGCGGGGCTTCTTCGCGGCGGGCTCGGACTCTTCGGCATCCTCCTCGTCGGACGCTACAGACACCTTGCGCTTCTTGTTCGAGACCTTCTTCGGCTTGGGGGACTCCTCCACATCAACATCATCCTCTCCGTTGTCAGATACGACAGGAGCCTTGCGTTTCTTCGCTTCGGACTTCTTCACGGGAGCCTTCTTCTTCGCCGGCTTGGGTTTCTCCTCCTGCTCCTCGAACTCTTCATCCGATTCAGCCTTTACGCGCTTCTTCTTCGGAACAGGTTCAGGAGACTCTTCTACATGCTCCTCATCCTCTGGCTCCTCTACGTCGGCATCTGCCTGTTTTGGTTTCGTTTCCTGATAAGGTTCGTTTAGTAAATCAATGCGGACTGCGAACAAAGATGTACGCACTGCGGCCTCCTTAATCACCGCACGCAGCGTCTTCTTATGCTCAGAGTGAGATACAGTATCCTCCTCCAAGCCATATTCCTCGTCAAGTTGGTCGAACACCGCCCTCGGCGTCAGATTACTGCAAGCGCACGCAAGTTCGCGTCAATGATACTCGGAGCAAATGTGGGGTATGTCACACACCGGAGACTACCGGCTTTGCGAGCTTCAGCCACTATCGCGCGAGAACGTTTCGCAAGGGTATCAAAGTCGGGTAGAGACATGACGGAGGGAGAGGAGAAGGTCGTGGTTGAGGGTCAAGTCGCGTTCGCAGGCTAAGACGCGCTCCCGCGGCCGGGACGCGTCGCGCCAGAACGCGGTCAGGTGCGATCAACGTCACAGCGTGACCTTTATATCGTTAACCAATCGCTACCCATCACACCACGCCTACTGGAGAGGCTTGAATCACACGTTCAAGCACAATATGCGTCATGGTACTACTAGTCCCCAGTCTCAAGGTGGTTATGATGGATAGGTACATTGTCTGCAACCGGGGACGTGACTGGTACATGCGAATCCTGTCTACCTCTGCGACCTTTACATACGTTGAGGCTCCGATCACTCGCGGAAACGATCCAATGTCCTTTCGTGCTCCCTGATGGACAAGAGTGAGGGGATACCCTGCTTTCTAGCCCTTCTTCATGAATGCAGTCAGAATGGGACGACGCTATGATGTTTCATATGACGAAAGACGCACTGTCTGGCGAGCATGCCTTCTAAGGCCGGTACGGTTTTGAAGCCCGTCCATTCATATCCCGGTAGATAATACCTCTAGATCCACGGTTCATGTCCAACCATTGACGAAGGTAGCAAAAGACGCACTTGATCGTAAGACCATCGGAAAACACTCCGTTCTCCATCCGGCTTCACACAGACTACGCGCAGTGGCTTTTTCTTTGGCGATATGCCGGGACGGATGATGAAGGATCCCAGAACTCTGAAGTCGGGTGCCCTCTTTTTTAACGCATACTTCAGCAGGAAGATGTCGCGTAAGGTCGCTCCATGGGCGTTGACAAGGGCGAGTCGCGGGAATAGCAGCCGGGAGACTGTGGGGAGCGTGTCGTCCGGATCGGGGGAGATAGCATGGGCAAGCGCCGGCGCTTGATCGGGCCGCATATCAAGCACAGATATGTCTTTCGCATGGGAGAAAGACTCTTGCCACATCGTCTTGGTGAACGGGCCGACATCTGAATCAATCGTAACCTTGAGATGAGTTATGCTCTGTAGTCGCAAAGACGTCGCCATGGCTATCCATAGCTCACGATACCATCTCGACGAGTTGACCAACTCGGCTGGGGTCTGCTCATTTGCATTCATGGTAGCTTGAAGCCGTAGTCGGGAACCGACGCTGGGTTTGAGGTCGAATGTTACATGATCCTGTTGTTCACGAGAGCGGAGGCGCCAAACTGAGGACTGCAGGATAGTAAAACGACCTTCAATAGAGATGGAGCACATGAACTGCTTGATGCTTTCCAAGCTTTGCGGGCCCGTATATTTGAATGCGAACACGGCCCGCATCTTGTCATCGAGTGAGAGTGCTCTGTAGAGGGCGGAGCAAGCATCCGGGGAGTCGTGCACCGATATGCGGCGCAATGATGGGGTCTTGATGGTTCTTTGTCTGGTTGGAGAGCCAAGAACGATAGACGTCGTGATACAATCCCTCAAAGTGAGACTTTGGAGGTTCTGCATCCGTTCCAATGCGTCTAGTAAGCCGTCGAATGAGCAATCGTGGGCTTTTTCAGGATGATCTCGCGCGATGGTAGCGAGTGATACCCATCCAGGGTGAACGAAATTGATCGCAAGTGTCGTGAGCGAAGACGAGAGTACGGATTCTGACCAGTTGAAGCAACCGAACTTGAGGAGAGCAAGCGCGCGAAGGCGAGGTGCATGGCGCCCGAAAACGTTCGTTGGCCAGTTCAAAACTGTCAACTCAGGATCGTTAAGATCACGATGGGAGCGGTTGACCATAATCGACACGGTCTCCAAATGTGGGGCATCTGCATGGCCTAGGTTAGGAAGAATGGCCTGAAGGCTGGCTGTAGTGGCATCCAGAACGATGCCCTCGCATTTTGACATCCATAAAGCGTGATGACCAGCTCTGAGAGAGGTCGGAACTCGAGCACTCGTGTACTTCCAGTTAAGATTGATGAGGGCTGCTTTGCTGCGCGACAGAGACTCGATAACAGCGTTCTCGGAGTGATAAAGCGGAGGGTGCGCCCAGACTTCGGGGAACGTGCGGATGACTGAGCACCATTTCTTCGATACACGCATCAGCCGCGTAGGAAGTGCCGGTACTACTCGAGTAGCCGCGCAAGCGAGTGCGAGTACTTGTGCCAGAATCTCGTCAGGAAGACGATAGATGGGGAGCAAGCAGTTTAGGCGGTGACGGAGCAGATCTTCGACCTTGCGTAGAGCAATCAGATGTTTCTCAAGAAGGGCGCGCTTATCACGAAGACTGTGGGAAGTCTCGGCGCTCCCGAGAGGAAGGAGCTGATCGGTCTGCGAATAGGCCACGTCCAGCCAGTACTTTTGTACACACGCGCTGTTTGATAGTCAGACCATCTCTCTCGCCGTGTATCATGCACGTCTCTGCGTACTCATTAGGGCTATTTCCAGTTGTATCTTGTGCCTGCATAGTGGTCATGATGCTGATGGTGGTGGTCAAAGATCAAAACGACGCGCAAAACGCCGGGCGCGTCCGGCGCGGCGCGCACAACCCGCCCTTGCTACTTAACCATCATGACAATTGACTGTATCAACTCTGTTCGGCTCGAGTGCAGTCATAGTATCGAACGCTCATGGTGAACCTATCTACTTAGGGGGGACTTGACTTGGCCTAGCAAGTCCTTGGCCAACTCGAGCGCACTCTGTAGCGATTGTTTGCCTCGTGTTTGACGGCATCAACTCGTTGTGGCACTGATACTACTACGATCTGTAAGCTCTCCTAGGGCTATCCTCCACCACCGCCATCACCTCTGAAAAATAAATGGACGCCTCATCCTCCCTAACTGGCTGCATTCACCTTCTATATGGTCATCGCATCGTCTAACTGCGGACTCAAAGGGTTGAAGGAAGCCTGGGTTCGGTGGCACCTCGTCGTCGCGCTGGGGAACTCGACGTGAAGGCTATCGAAGGCATTATGCATAGCCTCCAGGTCATGGTTCATCAACATGCATGACGTTTGAGCTACTTGAACCGGGTCGTGTGTCTACCCGTCGAGAACTCGGAGTATTTCGTTCTTGCCGTGCAACACGCTGCGGCCGCGACCTCGGACAACTTCATTCACCCATGGATGGGTAGAAATGATTCATTGCCGTGCGATTGTCTTTTACCGCCCTGTCATGCGTGCATTAAGGTTCTGGGAGACATGGATCCTACCGTTCGTCCCAGTCATCACAACGCTCAGAATATTAATACTGTGGACGCGTTCCCAGCGTAGGTGATGTCATCATCCCTCGGGATCGCGGGTGCACTGGAGAACTTCGACAAACCCATACATCATTCACGTCCGTAAGGGCAGATCTTCTCAGTGTTGTTCCGCATGCGCTGTATGTTAGTGCACACGAGTTTCGAGCGGAAGAGCGTATACAGAGGGCTCGGTACCGAGGGGAAAGGGATTGCGAGCATGTCGAACACAAGATCAAGGAATCAAGACGAGGTCCGTTCAAGCATGGTCCTATCGCGTAAAGTAACGGTAGTCCGAAGCGGAAGAAAGTGGGAGAGTGGGTAGACGAGTGATGAGGGTGGTCTAGGATGGAAGAAGAACGTCGATGCTACAGTTTTACTACTTGGCTTGAAGCATTCAGATGATATGAGTCTGAGGAAGAAAGTGGATGAGGTCCGTTGTGATGGTACAGATTGGCCTAGGCAATGTAAGCAAAGCGCCACGGCTTCCCCATGCTAGTGGGGGTTCATTGGTTTACGAAAGTCCGGTTCATGTCAGTCACAAAGCGTAAGTCCAGCGCCGCAGCGGGCGAGCGAGTGAGCGTCAAAGTTGAGCGAGTGATAGATCAAGTGGCGAAGACTGCTTCACGCATCAGCAAGAACCAACCACCGAAGATATTCCACTCACCGAAGTCAGATCGCACCCGTAGTAGTGGCGTGACCTTACCCCGCGAAACGAATACGATCCCCATGAGCTCGATATCAGCGACGCTGATGCGTCCTGCACCTGAGCCCATCTTCCATCGGGGATTCGTCCAGTGGACGATGCTCGCATTCTCTCTGGCGGCTTCCTAAGGGGTACAGTCAGCAATGAGGCAAACGGGCTTCGTACAACTGAAGCGCTGAACGCGTGCACACCTTCACGATGTAAGATACCTTCGAGGCAATGAGCCGCGCAAGGCGGCGGGAAGACACGGGGCTGGCCGCGGTATTGCGAAGTTGAATCTGCTTCTCGTATGACGGGTAATTGATTAACTGGTCACATGATACCGGTAAGCTGCGATCCCGAGAGTAAAGACAGAGTGTCCGCTCACGTGGAGGAGAACCTTCAGAGAGTGCGCGGTGACGCGGGTGGGCGAATCGAGAAGCATGTCGAAATCCGCGTTCGAGTCGATGCGAACGCCAAAGCCGCCATCGGATCGAGCGAAGAATATGGGAAGCATGTCGGTGCGTTGGAGAAAGGCCTCCTTTCTATTGCTTCCCTCGTGCGGTATGAATAAACGAGATGGGATGATGAGCGATGGTTCGTGGGCGATTAAGTCGAGGATACAGTACGGTGCAGGTGGGCCAGGCAGCCCGGTGTCTAACAGAAGTTTGTCAACCGGGTGTATGTTGAGGTCGTCGTAGGCAAAGAGGCCGATCGTGTTGTAAGGTAGACCTGGCAAATGCGCCGCGCGGATGGTCGAGAAAGATATGAAGGCGTCGAAGGGAAGGAAGTTGGCGTAGGCCGGGTGAATGAGTCGGAAGACCCGCTCGAGGGCAGACTGATATCCGAAGGTAAGGGAGATGACCGAGTTAGCTAGCAAGCTGAGCATAGCAGCTCTGGCGGCAGGCGACAAAGAATGAACAGTAAGGAGTGTTTGGCCGGCCATGACTCCCATCCAAGGGCCGAAGGGATACGTAGTCAAGGGTAACGAGTATGATCTTCCCGAAGTCGCCTTTTAAGAAGTCCAGGGCCATGTGGTCTTCAATGAAGTATTCGATGGCTTCGTGGCGTTTTGCAGCGCGAGCGTGAGATGCCATGGCCATCTGGAGTGTGCTTGAGGTGACGAAAACATTGTGTAAAGGTGCTGAGAAGATGATAACGGAGATAGCTCGGGCTCGAACTGCCGGAACTGCAGGGCAGGAAAGTAAACCAGGTTGCGCCCATGCACAGTAAAGGGCACGGTACCGCCGGCGTCCTCGAGATAGCCCTTTGGTTGGATCATCATACTATGGCTTGAAAGTGGCGGGTCAATGCCGCGGGTGGCACACGACCACATCCCTGGGAGTTTGGCGAACCGAATAGAGACAGGAGAGTGCCCCATGTGGACAGGGGATGCGCGAAGCCACTGAGGGCGAACTCTTCAACCGCCGTTGGATTTCGTCAAACTAGCTGCAATCCAATGGTCAGGTCTCGCCTGTGTGAGGATACACCTTTATGAGTGATGCTAGAAGCAAGACGTTTCTACGCACAACCCAACCTCGTGACAGGCTGAGCGCTGTCTGGTTCGTCTCCCTTTATCGCTCTGTACAGCGTCGCAATGACTCTCAGTACGAGATATCAGAAGAGTCGAACCTCGCATATGCTCGTTGAATAGAGAGGGACGCAATCCGCACTATGACCATGCCGGATGCTCATGGTATTCCAACATGAAGGATGACATTGAGGGTCTCGGGTTGTAGAGTACATGCACGAACAGATATAGAAGACAGAGCAACGTACTCCAGATCTCAGCATCGCGCTCGCTCTCACTGTATACAAGGCCGGAACCTAGGCACAGATGAGCATCTGTGAGATCAGGTGTAGGATGGCAACGCACCTTCGCCCGTTCAACCTGTCAACCATCCGGTAACGGTTACGACTTTTCAGGCATCGTTACAACGCCCAAAGACGACGTTTCAGATGTCTATATACCCAGCATCTTGCCGAAAGAAGACAAAGGGAGGAACTGGACAAGAAAGAGGTGTACAGTCGTGGTGGTCGAAGACCAGGGTTGCGATCGGCCGACAGCAACCAATACGTAGCGCGGTCCGTGGGAGCCGGATCATAACGGCGACTCGAGCGGGATCCTACACTTCGCCAGACGCCAGATGCAGTCACCAGTTGTGCTTCAGTCTCCCCCCACTTCAGTTGTGAGTTGCGGGGACACAAGACAACCTATACGATGACGGCTCAATAGAGACATTCCGCACACGGTAATTTGGCCGTTCGCTCACTCAGTCGCGGTGCGGGTTGGAGCGTCGCCACAACAGTCGCTCGGACCTTATAAGCCGCTCAAGCTTGCGCGAGCGGCCATTTCCGAAGCGACCGCAGACAGTGGTGGAGCATCCGCAGCCACTCTTCGTTCGGTCGACATGAGCTCAACACCGTGTGCGGAATGTCTCTAATCAAGTTCCTCGCGTGTTTCATATCGCCCAGGTTCGACATCAAGTACAGACTTCGTGGTCTCGCATGTCGGCTAATGACAACGGACTGAGATCAGCCGTGTATCCTCGTATATTTTCACTTGACCGCTATCTCCATACAAGCCGTGAGATCGTCATGATACGTTTCAGGGGTTTCGCCGTCGAACGGTTGCCATGTACCGATGCCACTGTACGGTAGTGTGCCTCAATGTCCACGACTTCGTGAGCTTCAGGGAACTTTAGCCGGTGTTACAGCCCAAACAGAGCCTAAGGCCTAAGGCACAACTCAACGGTATGTTATGATCTCTCTTGACCAGTTTTACCATCCGTGAAAACCTATCGGTAGGCTCCGGCCAACAGGCGCTCGCCGCTCGCGCTCAGATCCACTTGCCTCCTCATCGATGGTTTCTCGCAGAAGATCATCTTCCTGAAACGCATGCCCGAGACTTTCATGCGCGCCGGTCAACTTGACCGACGTAAGTCCCGACCGCTCGTCTCCCCACACGATGGCGAAAGCGTCTAAGAAAGATGGCGATTTCTAGGTCGAATCTCCGGGCGGTCACAAATGACATTTGAGCCGTTCGTACCAGACAGCTCTTACCCAGAACCACCATCATGGACCGCCGGTCCAGCGCATGCTTCACTTGTGATGCGACGACTCTGTATATTACGCTTTGGGCTTCGAGCTCGGGCCGGTAACCCATTTGGCGAGCCTCATGATCTGACGGCATCAACCCGTTGTGGCACCTAGCGCACGGCTATCCTAGGATTGTTCTCGCACGGCTATCCTAGGATTGTTCTGGACCACCACCATCCTCCCTTCTCCAGGAACATGACAGCGCCCGCTTCCTTGACAGAGTACGTCGTCTGCATTATGGCTGTCTCAACTCACTCTGACGGGGAGCAAGATTCGGCGATGTTTGGACACGGCAACTCGACGGATTGAGGAATGACGCCGGTGCAATCGAGAGCAGCATGCTTGTCGCACAAGCAGTCGTCCGCCACCACGCCGCGCTCTTGAATGCTTTGAACCGCGTAGTCTCTTTGCCTGCCGAAGTTCTGGAGTCCATCTTCCTCGCCGTACAACTTACAGGACGAACATCTGCGACTACTGATCCCGTGAATCGCGATTGGTCCCACGAATCAGAATGGATTCTCGTTACCCATGTCTGTCGCCGATGGAGGCAGGTGGGAGCGTGTCCGATCTATGTATAGAGCATGACTGACGATTTCTGTCAGATAGCCCTCAGTTACCCTAGCCTGTGGACCGACATCGACCTCAACACTTACGGCATCCCACTCTGCAAAGAGATGCTAATCCGTGTTACCTCTCATAAGTTCGCGCTCTCAGCCTCGCTTAACGCGCACGAGAACTTCTTGCTGGGGATGGACCTCAGAACGCGGATCCCCGGCCAGTTGTCGCGGCTGAAATTGGACTTCGGCGAGAATGTGACTCATTCGGGAGCGTTTTTGGATACCCTATGGTCGCAAGCAGGCTCCGAAGCCCATTCCGGACTTGCTCTCGAAGAACTGGACATATCTTACAGGAGCTCTATCCTTATGTTCTGGGCATCTTTAGAGCTCGTTGTTCCCCGTCTGAAGTGTTTGCGCTTTACGCATACGTGCCCTGGTGGCGGTGCACCATCATCTATGAAGATGCTTCGCGATGTCACTTTCAACACGGTCGATTTGACCTCTCGCGGCCGAGTTACGCCGGGCATCCTGGACCTCGTTCCTTTGATGCCCGTACTTGAGTCCGCCACTTTCATCGGTTGCGTGTTCTCGCCTTTGGACGCGGACAAGGCAGCGTTGCCGTCGTCGATGAAGCTTTTTCACTGTGAGGGCCACGATGAGTGGTCTCTACAGCAGTGTCGCGCACTCTCCCGCATGCTAATGCAGACAACGGGTGACCGCGTATTTGTCGTTGGATCTGCCACTTCCCACGTAGCGGAGGAGTTATTCGAGGAAGTCAAAGATATGGCCGACGTGGGATTTGATATCACAGAGATAACCGTGGAAGTTACCGGCTGGTATACCACTAACGCCACCGTCACTCTCCAAAACACCTTGAAGGAAGAGGCATCCTCCTTGTGCATCAAGTACACGCGGATGCCTTCGACGTGTTGGCCAACGTTCTGCTCCTCCATGGAGGGTATCGACATGCAAGACGCTAGCGTACGACTCATCTGCGATCAAGCAACCTCCTGCATGATTTCCTCAGATAACGACGAGCTCTACGGGCTCCGTGGTTGGACCATGTCAAGACTGCATCTCACGGGCAGAATGGCGTCCTGGACCGCTGCCGACATCTTCATCGCACTGCGTGCGCCGATCGAGGGTGGTGGCCCCAGCGTGGCGTTTCCGTGTCTGCAAGACTTCTGCCTAGAGCATTCCCCTTCCTCCGCAACAGTGGAGATACCCAATCTGGACATGGTGCAGGTCGATGACCTGTATAAGGAGCTGGATGAAGGGGCGCTGTACCTTCTGTGGTACGCTCGCCAGCGGCGAGATCAAGATCTCGGCCTTTTGCGGACCGTGGCGCTTCCCACGGATCTCCTGCAACGACAATGGGTCATCGAACTGAACGACCTCCTGGAGAGGAGAGTCATCACGTATGACGAGTATATGGCCGAAGAGGACGGTGAAGGTGACGATACGGAGACGACTGAATGCCGAGCCGTCGTTCTTTACCGCCCTGTCATGCGTGCATTGAGGTTCTGGGAGACATGGATCCTGCCGTTTGTCCCAGCGATCACAACGCTTGGCATATTGTGGACACGTTCGCGCATCACATGACGCTGGTTCCGTCCGGTCAGCAGATGTACATACACGAGTACCGCTCTCTACATGCTGTATTTGTGCACCCTCCATTCAAGATGCGGGAGAAGCATCGCGACAAGGCACCGGCATCACTGTCCATATCCCAGAGTGACAGCGATCAATACACAACTGTCATTGGCAGCGTACAGGAGAGCCGGGGCGACGCCCGGAGGGTATACAACTAGTAGCAAATACGGGAAAGCAAGCGTCGAGGGTGATAACGAGGGTAAGGGTCTGAGCTGCAGGAGACCGACTATAGCAGTTGTACAGTAATGGCGCAACGTGAGGAAGCGATGGCATTCGTAAAGGAGTGGCGGCTTCGAAAAGTCCGAGTATAAGCAGAAGTTTCGTCGAGTACAGTAGAGGCTAGCGATCATTATGCAGCAAAGCGAGAAGTTTCTCGAGCCGAGAGGTCCATCATGAGTTCAAGTGCTACGAGTTGCTCAGCGAGAGTCCGTAGAAGAGGCATAAGAGTGTTGGAGATGGAGGTTTGTATGTCAAAATGCAAAGACTGTCCATGTTAGCTAGCATATCGGGATCAAGGACAACTCGCTCACCGAAGTCCGATCGCACCCGGAGCAGCGGTGTGACCTTGCCCTGGGATACGAACACGATTCCCAAAAGCTCGACATCGCCAACGCCGATGTACCCGGCACCTGAACCCACCCTCCAACGACGATTTGCCCACTGCATGATACCAGCATTCTCTGCGGCGGCGTCCTATCGAGCGGAGTCAGCGATTGCTCGTGCGAGGGATTTTAAGCTATGTAACGAGGGATTCGCAGCGTGCACATACCTTTATGAGATAGGACACCTTCGAAGCAACGAGCCGGGCAAGGTGGCGGGAAGATGCGGCGGGACGGGCAGCGGTAGGGCGGAGCTGGATCTGCTTCTCATTCAAGGAGTAGTCCAAAAACTGGGTACGATGTGAGCCATGGCATCGGAGAACAAAGAGAAAAGCCGTGGCCTACCTGCAGGACGACCTTCAGGGACTTTGCCGTGATGCGAGTGGGGACATCAAGCAGCATGTCGAAGTCCGTGCTAGAGTCGATGCGAACACCGACGCCGCCATCTGACCGAAAGAAGAAGACGGGGAGCATGTCCGTGCGTTGTAGAGAGGTCTCTGCTCTGTTTGTCCCTTCGTATGGTACGAACAAGCGGGACGGGATGATGAGGTGAGGGTTCTCTGCGATCATATCGATGATACAGTAGCGCATGTATTCCCAGCCAGGTTCCAGCAAGGACGTGGTATCGACGGGGTGCAACTTGAGCTCTTCGTAAGCGAAGAATGCGATTGAGTTGCGAGGAAGACCAGGAGTAAGCGTCGCGCGGATTCCCGACAAGAGAACGAAGATGTTGAAAGGAACGATATTGGCGTTGGGATCGGCGTAGTACGCCGGGTAAATGAACCTGAAGACGCGCGCAAGAGCTGATAGGGGACCGAAGGTGAGAGAGATAACCGAGTTGGCAAGCAGCTCGAACATAGAAGCTCGGGCAATGGGCGGTAAAGAATGTGGGGTAAAGATCGTGGTGGTGGGCATGGCTGCCTATAATGGTATCGCCAGTAAGTCGAAAGCCGTCTTCTTATACGGCAAACGACAGCACGATCCAAGCAGGACGCGAAGAATGAGACACCACCGGGAGTGTGCGTTCAGGTCCATATGTAGCGAGTCTGGCCTTCAGAGTGACAAGCAAGCCGGAGCGGGATGGACGAGGCGCCGACGAGCACGCCTATTTCCTCTTCAGCCAGGTGTCACCGCGGTCACCCAAGACGGCCGAGTTGACAAGGAGCCGCCGGTATAGCAAAGTGTCAACACCTCTGAGATATGGGTTCGAACAAACACCTGACGTCCGCCAGATCGCAATCTGACTACAAACTGCGATACAAATGCTGGGAAGGTGCACAGCAGAAGCATTGGCCGCACGCATGATGCAGAGGATGTCAATAGAGCGTGGCTCCTCTTGAACGCGCTGTAGAAGTCAACTGTGACCGGGAGTTAGGCGAGTCAAACGAGTCCTGAGGGCGAGATTAGCTTTTCGATGAGGTGTAGGATGGTAGCGGATCTTCGCGCCTTGCAATGGGTTATTCAACCCGCCGTCGACATCCGACTTTGCCCGAGGCGGGATATCGACATGAAACGTAACGCTTCTAGGACGCTACAAAGTTAGTATGCACTCGGCTTGAGGGTATTAGCGCTTAGCCAGCTAGCAGCGATGGCGTAACGGGTCTGGGGCCACGCGAGCGGCTCGGTTGGAGACTGCCCATCTCTTGCTCTGCAGCGCAGAGGGTCCAGGGAGAAGTGGCTATCATCGAGTTGGTTGCGATCGCTCGCGGTCTTGTCAGGCGACTGTCTACCACTCGGCCAAAATCGTCCCCGAGAAACCCGCAGGCAGGAAAGGTCATGGTGGTGATGAACATGAATCGTCAGTCGGGATCTGCGATGACGGGAAGCTGCCCTCCCGTCCGTGATTGCCGGTTCACGATTGACGTCGGGGTACATCTCGCTATTAGATCTTATGCTGTCAGCGTACTGGGGTTTGAGGTTCAAAGTCCGTTTTAGTCGGAAAAGCGTACATCGCGCCCTTCGAGTTGGAAGGTACCAGGCGAGATGACCTCTCGCATCAGCCCGATCATCAACATCATTGCACGGCACCGAGCAATCTTCTGGAATTCAATGACAAGGATAATCATCTCCGCGGGATTCTTGATTGTCTCTTCGCGCGTTTCATGGAGCACAGAACCCCGCCAACAATGACCCCTGGAAAAGGATATAATATTTTTGGTGGTGGGCGGCTGCATGCGGAAGAGTACATGGGCATGGTGGTGACATAGCATGAAAGCGATGAAGGGGGAGAAGAATACACAATGAGTCGAAGCGTTTACTTCTGCGGAGGGAATGAGTTTCTTCCGCAATGAAAGTTCAATGTTGAGACGTACGAGGATGATACCGTCGAAGCGCTGCTTGTACCATGCCATGGTGTCATCCTTCTTGATGCGGTGGGTTGCGCCGACACGGGCGGTCTTGCGCTTGCGCTTTGCGACGCGGTTTCCTGGGCGTCCCATGACGACGTAGAAGTCCATGCCGAAAATACCGATGCCGGGGTCGTAGCGGGCGCCGAGATCGATGTGCTCCTGGATGCCGAAGCCGAAGTTGCCGGTCTCAGAGAAGTTGCGGCGGCGGAGCTCGTACTCCTTGACCTTGAGGCCGCGCTCAAGAATCTCCTCGGCTTTGGGCCCCCGGATGGTAACGTGCACGGCGATCTTCTCGTTACGGCGGATACCGAACGTGCGGACGGTGTACCGCGCCTTGGATGTCACGGGCGTCTGGCCGGTAAGCTGCTCCAACACCTTCGACGCACGCGTCAATCGATCGCCAGACTCGCCCACGGAAATGTCTGCAATGTTGTTCAGAATATTACTCGCAAAATATACACGCGAACACGCACTGAGGACGAGCTTGTCGATGCGAAGCTCCTTCATGGGGTTCGTCGGGGCGCTCTTAGCTTCGGCCTATCAGTCGTACGGTCAGCATTTCCCCCTCCAAATACGAGCATAACGACGACGCACCATGTCTTGCTGCCGTCGGGGTCGATGTCCTGCTCCCACTAATTTCCAGCCGCGTTTCCGCGCCGCGGGTGCAGCACGTGCACCTGCACTCGGCAATCGCCGTCGTGGGATTACAGTTCGAACATTCCTCGGCGATGTCCGTTTTGCGGCTGATCGCGTCTTCTCCTTCGCGCCGCCACCATGATGCTGTTCAAAATGCAAATATACTCAACTCTCACCACATGACGCAGCGAATACCTTTTCACTCGCTGCCAAAGCTCTACATATCACGAGTGTCAGAGAAATTCCGCGCTGGCCGGTCTTTTGGCCATTCTGTCGTAACACGCGTTGGAGCGTTGCCTCAGCTTTGTTTGAGCGGCGTTCCCGAGGACATCACACATAGCTGTGGGGTGCCCGTGGTTGTTCTGCTCTCGGTCGATGTGAGCTCGGCACCGAGTGCGGAACATTTCTGTTGTTAGACTTTGCGAAGTTCACTCGCGGTGCTCGTGGTTTCGTTGCTCCATTATATACTCTCCAGAGGCTATATACAACATGGAAAGACTACAGTACAGTCCTATCTTCGACGCGAACTTGACCATATGATTCCCAACGTTCCTATCAGCGGTGTAATGGCCCATAGCCACGTCTCCCAAAACGCCAACGCGCGAAGTACGGGACGATACAGAACAAGTGCTCTGCAATCCACCTCACTCTCTTTCTTCATGAACGTGTCGTATGGGACGACCTTGTCCTCAAGGAGATCGTCGAGTTCGGCCACCCAGCGCTTATGCATCAGATCCACGGGTAGCGCCGCTGTTCGTAGTGGCTTGGCCCCGCACAGATGCCGCGCACGAGCGTACCATAGCAGAAGCAGCGCGGCTTCATCAAGGTCTTTCGTCAACATATCAGCCGCGCCGACGTTGACGTTGGTCTCTTCAACGATCGCCTGCGGAGGGCACTCTATGCCAATGTCTCGCAATCTCGGAAAAGCCAGCACTATGGCGTCCCCGTCGGCTTCGTCGTCGGGATCAGACTCGCGCAAGGCAGTGAAGAGGCCGGCAGCGATGTAGGATCCCAATTTGCCCGTGATATATATCGACGTCACGGACATCCGACGAAGCCCTGACAGGATATTGATGTCCTGGTTGTACATGTCCGGAGTAGACCTATCGCATATAATGCGCAAGTCTGCATCTCTTGTGTCGATGTCTGTGATGCAGTCGCAAAACTGATGCCAGATAGACCGCGTGGAGACTCCGTGAAAGCATACGCGTAAGGGTTGCACTTCGACTGCGGCACTATGCGCGCGTCTGAACTCGATGGATAGATCGAGTGAGTCCCACCCTATAAGCTCAATGGCGACTTCATGAACATAAAGCCCGCGATCCAGGGCAGCTCGCACGTCTAGTGCGAACGTCTGCGCAACATGGAAGTTGGTCAAGTTATTGAGCTTGAACACGCGATCGCCCGTAGTCTGTCCTAGCACGCGCGACAGAGCGTGGCACTGCGGCAACGTCCAGTCGTTGTTGGCCTCGAATTGAGCCAGCCGCACGGTCGGCGGAAGCGAAGCGTTCTCCAGGATCTCATTCTCGGGGATGAAGGGATCATGCCCAAATGAGCAGTCGAGGAAGACGGCTGACTCCAATACGGGCATAGCGGAGATGAGCTTCAGGAAGCCAGACATGTCGGGACCATCGGGACCATGGTTCATCAGATCAACCTTGTGCAATGTGAGGTCGGTCAGCATTGATAGTGATGCGGGGATGTGACCCCGAGGGGCGAGGTATAAGAGGTATAGCGAGGTAAGACTTGGCAGGACAGGCGTCAATGTCGACCAAGATATGCTCTGCGGAGATGATCCGCTCATCCGCAGCTGTCTGAGAGCTGGATTCGTCCGACCGTCGATGTACGAGAATAGTGTATCGAGAATCGCACCAGGACGAGCCATGAGGAGATCCATGTTCAATGTCAGACTCGAGAGCTGCGCAGGGACACGCTCTCTCAAGGACACGTCAAGTAGGAGCTCTTTATGCGTCTGGAGGTCGGCTGACAGCGAGAAAGCCCTCGACCCAATGCGCATCAGCATCTCCTTACAGATCACAGTACCATACAAGTTGACATCAATATCACACCAGAGGCCATAACAGCCGAGGGCTACCTGTGTAAGTCTTTCAGCACTCGTGATCGATACATGAACTCGGACGCGCCTCACCTGTCTCCAACGACGACAGACGTGTGTAAGAGATACCCATCCAGCGCCAGAAAGAAAGACGTTTCGTGTCTCCTTGTGGGTTTGCGGAGGTGGAGTGTACGGTATGTAGGGTGGATACCCTGGATAAGGCTGGGGAGGCGGAAGAGGCTGGGGCGACCTAGTGACAGACGTCTCTTTGCTAGCCAGGGCATCTTTGACGGCATAGAAGATAGCTTCCAGTATCTCTGCTGGGAGGGAGACGGCGACATTGAAACTGTTCAGCCGTTCGGCGTAGCAGCGAGCTATACTCTGAGCAGCGAGCATGACACCTTCCGCGGCTTGAGCTTCGTTCAGACCGCCTACTGCAGCGACGAGTTGCTGATCCCAACTACTGCTCAACCTTCTCATGGTTCAGGTTGTGGTTGCCGCATCTGAGTACGTGGTACACACTCTATTAGAGAGGTTGACATATCCATGACTGTGGCACAAGCCAAGGATGGTGGCGGTCAAGAGTGAGCCTAGAAGGCCGGCGTCACACGGACTTTCCGAACACGAGGTCGGTCCGAAGTCCGGATCTCTGGTGATGCGAACACACATATAGGTACAAGGCGCACAAGTACAGCAATATATCGACTAGCGAAGCGCTGTTGAGCAGAGATCGGCATGTTCTCATCATATTCGCAACAAACACGGACGCATAATATCGTACCAGAGGCCCTACATAACTAAATCTCGGAATTTCTGAACCACGCCCGTCGCCGCGACCCGGCATCTGTGACGCCTGCACCTTATGTTCTCGCGGCGTGGCAGGGTCGTGGCCTCCCGGGCGCTCCCTGACTCTTAACCCTATTTTCGATGAGAGCTTGACCAAATGATGCCCAATGTCCCAATCACCGGCGCGATGGCAAGCAGCCACGTCTCCCAGAACGCCAACGCTCGTAGCACGGGACGATACAGCACGACCGCCCTGCAATCCGTCGTCTCCACCTCGCTCTCCTTCATGTGCACGTCGTACGAGACAACTCCGTCCTCGAGGAGGTCGTCGAGTTCGGCCACCCAGCGTCTGTGCATGAGGCCCGCGGGGAGTGCCACAGTTCGGACTGGTCTTAGTCGACGAGAAAGCCGCTCGCGAGCGTACCACAACAAGACCAATGCGGATTCGTCTAGATCTTCCGTCATCCTATCCGACCCGTAGCCGTAGCCGTAGTCGGTTGGAGCATATTGCTCCACGCAAATATCTCTCAGTCCTGGGAATGCCAATGCGCTTTCGTCTCCATCATTACCAACAGCATCCTCTTCTTGCCGGTCAGACTCGCGCAAGGCGCTAAATAGGCTGACAGCAAGCTGGCCACCGTAGTAGCCCGTAAGATAGATCGATGTCACGTTCAGCCGTCGGAACCCAGTCAGGAGGTTGCTTTCATCGAGATGGCGTGGATTGTGGTCACATATGAAGTGCAAGTTCGCATCTCCCATATCAATGTCCACAACGGAGGAACAGAAGTCCCGCCAGCTGTCAGGCGAGACTTCATGGAAGCAAACGCGGTACGGCCGCGGCTCCCTGGCGCTATGTGCACGTCTGAACTCGACGGACACGTTGAGCTCGCGCCTGGATACAAGCTTGACGGCGACTTCATGCACATATAAGTCCCAGTCGCCCTCCAAAATATCCCGTACAGCTGAGAATAACGGGAGAGCGCTATGCTCTGATGAGGTCCTAAGCCTGAATACGCGATCGCCCCCAGATTGTGCCAGCGTGCGAGAAAGATTGCGGCACTGCGATATTCTCCAGCTGTCGCTGACTTCGAAGTGGGCCAGTTGAACTGTAACCGGAAGCGGTATCATTTTGGTATGCCATGTGAAGGAGTCAAACGAGCAATCAATGAATGCGATAGACTTCAAGACAGGCATGGCGGAAACTAGTTTCACGATACGTGGCGCATTTGGGCCATCGGACCCCGCGTGCGGCTGCAGATCGATGTGACTTAGAGTCAGCTCAACGAGCATCGACAGTGATGTCGGGATACGGCCTCGCATGTTGATATGCACGAGGTGCAACGAGGTAAGGGTGGGCAAGATAGGCGCCAATGTCGACCAAGAAAGGTTCCCTGAAGAGCGCCCGTTCAACCGTAAGAACCTGAGAGCGGCATGGCTCGGCTGATTAACCATGTACAGAAATAGATTGTCAAGGAAGGCCCCGAGGTGAGTGACAGTGCGCTGCTCGATATCGAGTGTCAAACTCGATAGTTGTGTAAGAAAACACTTTCTCAAAGGAACATCCAGAAGAAGCTCCTTATGTGTCTGGATATTGGCAGACAGCGAGAACTCCCGACAACCAATGCGTGATATCATCTCCTGGCAAAACAGACCCCCGTACGTATGGGCATCAACATCGGCCCAGAGGTCACGGTACCCGACGGCCACCTGTATAAGTCTTTCAGATATCACGCCCTGCACATAAGGTCTAGGACATCTTACCTGCCTCCAACGGCGACAGACATGCGTGAGGAGTACCCATTCTGCGCCAGGGGACCAACTTGACGCCCGAGTAGGTACCACCGGGGCCCGTAGTGGCGAGTATGACCACGATCGGCGGCGCTGGGGAGTGTATGGTAACTTGATAGACGCCTCTTCGTCATCCTTGGGACCCTTGACAGAGAGAAAGATGGCCTCAAGAATCTCCGCGGGTAAGGAAACGGCATAATTGAAATCGTTTAGTTGTTCGGCGTAAAGGCGAGCTACGCCACGGGCGGCGAGCAAGCCACTCTCCACAGCCTGGACGTCATCGCCCAGAGCGAAAAGTCGCTGGCCCCACGATTCGCTTAACCTTCTTCTGAGGTCAGTTATCGTATAGGACAGGCCTGTATGAGAGTACGCACGCGTCCAGTGACAGAGACTCATCCATGAATGTGGCGAACGAGGGTGGCTGTCAAGAGTAACCTGGAATGTCGCACTGTCATTCCGCTTTTGAGAACATCCTCACCCTTGCCATGAGCTCACCATCGAATCCCTCTATCGTCGGTAATAGAACCCTTCTATAGTCGGTACTGTAGTGGCCGGACAGCCTGTGCCCCCGGAAGTACACCGCAACATCGATAGGTGCGTCGTTTGGAAGAAAGCCTGTGCACCCTGACGCCCGAAGTCCTCATCGCACCGGCGCGGGCGCGGGCGCCTACAGATGACCCTGATAGCCTCGCTTGAACCTTGGGGGGCAGGCTCGTGTCCCCCTGGGCTCCTTTCTTCCTTGCATTCGTCCCGGTCGTAACATAGCTCCATGTGTCTGATGGTACGGATATACCACCTCAGTTACGCACAATCCTTGTCTGAAGACGATGATGGTTGAGAGCAACTTAGGTTCGGCCCGAAGTGCCACAACGACCTGATGCCATCACGCATCGAGCGCGCTGGCGGTGTAATTCAAAAATAAGATATATTTCATGGACTGGCAGTGATGACAACGGATCTCTAGACTCTAGATAATGTAGCTGGCCTCGAATGCACCCTCACTTGTGGCGGGAAGCCGACCATAGCAACCCTAACATCCCTATAACCGGCGCGCCGACTGCCAGGTATCGAGCTTCGAAGGACGTCATCGCGCGAAAGACCGGGCGGTAGAGAACGACTGCGCGACAGGACGCAGTCTCGACCTCCTCTGAGGAGTGTGAGTGAGCGTCACAGGACACGACGCCGTCTTCGACGAGCTCTTTGAGCTCTTCTACCCATGACTTTTGCAGGAGTTCACCCGGGAGCACTATGGTCCGTAAGGGCTTCATGGCGCGGTTCCTGCGGGCTCGCGCGTACCACAGGAGATGAAGAGCACTCTCGTCCAACGTCCTCAGACACTGCGGAACCGAGTAGGAGTGTAGATTGCTATTGGCACTTGGCGGAGAGCGATGGGTGAAGTTATCCACAATGATATCACGTAGTTCGGGATATGGTAGTGATGGGGTACCGAGCACCGCAAACCCCTCTTCGTCAAGGTGCATCGCAATGAAGAGGTCCACGATGGCGGAGCATGCAAGGCCACCGGATACGTGCACGATTGACACGGTTGACCGTTTGAGCTCCGCCAGTGCATTGATGTTCGGGGAGTACATCGAAGGCACGGAATCGTCCGACACAACGCGCAGTGTGGCGTCCCTCAGATCGATCCCAGCAATAGAGGAGCAGAACGCGGTCCAGTGCGGAGGGGAAACGTGTGGGAAATGAATCCGGTACGATCCTTCGTTCGGCGTTGTTCGGAACTCGACGTTCACGTCAATAAGGCCAAAGCCTCGGAAGTCTACTACGATCTCCCGGACAGTGTGGCCCTTGTCGACTACCTTCTTCACTTCTGCGAAAAGGGCGCGTCCATCTTCAATAGGAAGGTTCTGTGCATTGAATTTACGATCGCCTGCTGATTGTTCCAATAACCGAGAGAGTGAGAGCCCTTGGTGCAGGTACAGTTGGCTGAACACTCTGATCTCCATAATAGCGAAGGACTCAGGTAACACGACCGCAAGGTCTTCCTGCGATTCAGCAAACGTGCAGCTGACCAAGGTAAGCGACTCGAGGACGGGCATGACTCGGAGCAACTCTAGGATGCCGGGTACTCCCTCGCTAGGCGTCAAAATGACCATTGCGAATGTAAGAGTTGTCAACCTCGGAAGGACAGCTGGAGCTGGACCAACCGGGTACAGATATGTGAGATACAAGGTCTTGAGATTTGAAGAAAGGCGTCTCAGAGACGCCCAATAGATGTTGTTAGGGTCTCGACATGTCAAAGTCAGCCTCTGCAGTACTGGATCTTCGCAACACCGATCGTGAGAGAATATGATGTCGAGAATGGACCCGGGAAAGACCACTGAGTCTTCGAAGAATAGAGTAAGGTCCTGCATCTGAGTACATGCGCGCTGTCGTAGTTCGTGACAGGAGAGGAACTCTTGGTGTCTCTTTGCGGATGCGAAGAGACCAAACGGCTGCGGCCCTAATCGCTGTAACAGCCCCTTGCGCAAGTTGGGGGAGTACATCTCGGCGTCGATAATGGTCCATAAACGAGTAGATGCCAGCGCTGCCTAGAAGTGTGCGTGAGATCACGACTAAGAGTGAGATCGCTCAGCCATACCTGTCTCCAGCGGTGGCACACCTGGGATACGACTATCCAGTTCGATCCCGATAGCCAAGTGAGGTTTGGGCCGTGAGGGTTTGTGCAATCGTCTCGAGCAGCCAAGAAGACTTCTTCAAGAATCTCCACCGGTAGAGATGCAACACGATTGAAATCGTTCATACGCAAGGCATGCAGTCGGAATATCTCCTGGGCTTCTCGGAAGCTGCGCTCGATAGCAGTGGCGTCATTGAGCTCGCTTAAGCGCTGAGTCCAGACCTGCTTTAGCCTTTTGTGTATCAGCCACGGACATACTCGATAGGTGAAGAGAGATATCTTACTCCGCCGTGGACGCACTCGGGTCCATGATCGCTCGTTGGACGAGGCGTGGTGGTGGTTGAGAGCAACCTCGAGTCAGCGCTCCAGACCCATACTCCCAATCTCTGATGCCGTCAAGGCACGCACGCTCCCGAAAAGGCATATTGGCTACTCGGAACGCTTATACTAGCGGCAATTAAGTAGTGTAATGTAAATATTGACATGCTATGCCTACAGAGAACGCGTCAATCTGAGGCCGAGAACGCCGATGATCGGCGCGAACACCAAGAACCGCGGCATCCACAAAGCCCACACCGCATTGCGAAAGAGCGGGCGCCAGAGAACGATTGCTCGGCACGATCGCCCCTCCTCGTCACCCTCCAAACCCGTATAAAGCTCATATGATACTACTTCCTCCTCCACCAGCTCATTGAGCTCGTCCACCCACGGTTTGCTCAGGAGCATCTCCGGGAGAGCGACGGTTCGCAGCGGCTCCATCGCGCGAATGCGTCGGGTCCGAGCGTACCAGAGAAGGTGGAAGGCGCTCTCGTCCACGTTCGTCGAGCACTGTGCGATGTCGTGCCCGTCTTGAGGCGTGTCTGTGGAAGGATGATCGTAATTGCCTATGGCAATGTCGCGTAAAGCTGCGAATGCCAATGGCGTAGGACCCGAGTCTACATAGCCTTCGTCTACATCCATGTGAAGCGCAATGAACAGGTATGTCGCGGCGGTGCAAGCAAAGGCACCCGTGACGTATATTGTAGACACGGCGAGCCTCTGAAGCTCGGCTAACGCGTTGAAGGTAGCGGAGTACGTTGCGGGGGTAGCGTCTTCAGATACCACTCGCAAGGTGACGTCTCGCATGTCGATACCATCCAAAGAGGAGCAGAAGATGATCCAATGTTGGGAGTACACGCGCTCAAAGTAGATGCATAATGGCTGGGAGTCTTGATCTCTCGCGCCAGCGCAAAACTCGATGCGTATGTCGAGATAGCTCCATCCTCGGAACTCGATCAGTATCTCGCGAACAGCGTTGCCTCTCTCGTAGGCCTCGCGCACTTCAGCGAATAGATCGTGGATATCCGTGTCATCGCCTATATTCCAGACAGAGAACTTGCGATCTCCTGTCGCTTGTTCCATCAGGAGGGACAAGGCGCGGACTTGATGCACGTGCCACGAGTCGAAGGCCTTGAACTCGACACATTTCATTGACCTCGGCAATACAACTTTTACTTCGCTAACATGAGGAGTAAAGCTGCAGTTGGCAATGGTCACGGTCTCAATGGTAGGCATGGCTCGGAGTAACCGAAGGAAGCCAGGTACCCCGTCAGAGGTTGAGACCACGGTGTTCGTCAAGGTGATGGTCGTCAGTCGCGGAAAGGCAGGTGGCGCGACTCCGGTTGGATAAACGTAGGACAGGTGTAAGGTCTGAAGATTGGGTACCATGCTTCTGACGGAACTCCAGTGGAGATTCCTCGGGACTTCGCTAGTCAATGTCAGACTCTGTAGGACGGAAGGCGAGTCCGTTTGGCTATGAGAGAACATGATGTCAAGGACTGATCCAGCAAAAGCCATCTGAGCATCGTAGTGTAGCTCAAGCTTCAGCAGCTGACGCCAAATGCGTTCTCTGAGGCAGTAGGACGAGAGGAATTCTAGATCTTCCTTAGCTCTGGCGTTCAGAGCAAACGGCCGAGTGCCGACTCGTAGCAGCATCTCTTTACAGAAGGGTATGCCGTGTACTTGAACATCGATATCGGTCCACAGGCGCGTATAGGCCAGTCCCACCTGTTACTCGTCGTGAGTAAGAGATTGGCTATAGATCTTCGCAACTTCTAGTACTTACCCGTCTCCAGTGGTGACAAACCTGAGTGACCAGCGGCCAATCATCCTGAAAGCGAGGATCGTCCTCAGTGCCACAAAGTCGGGTCTCCAGGAGTATATATTCCAGCACTTCCACCGGTAGCGAAGCAGCGATATTGTGCGCGTTCAACTTCGAGGCATGAAGACGGACTACAGCTTGAGCATCACGGAGACTGCTCTCAATAGCTGGAACATTATCGCCCAAGGCGAGTAGCTCCTCAGACCAGGCGTCCTTCAACCTACGGAAGTCACTTATTAGAGTTCATATAGATGAGTGAAAGAGGTTGTCGTACTCGGAGGAACGTCTAGACGAGTCCATGGCTGGGCCGTGGAGAGGTGGTGGTCGGTGGTCAAGGAAGCCGCGCCAATCAGCCTAGGATCTGCGTAATCTGCGCTATGTGTAGGGCTCCCCCGTGCCTGTCTTGCCCAAACCGTATATCGTGAAGCCCCTTGAGTCGCAATGGCACGGGGAACAATCATGGTAACAGCCACACCGATATACCCGAGACGAATCCTGCACACACGATGCGCTGGTGTCTTCCGCCGACGCCTGCATTCATCGAGATATATAACACGCAGATCAAGCCGGTGTCAATGTCATACTACCGTTGACTGCGGAAGTCTTCCCCGCCATCTTCCGCGCAGGAGATGATGACCGTTTGGGGCAAAGGCAAGATATATGCCCGAGGCGCGGTGCTACGGCGCGGTCGTCTTCCCCGAGCGCTGCGAACGTGGCGCGAATCAACTTCGTTTGGATGCGACCATGACCACGACGCCTTCCTCCTCTCCCCACCATCCCCGCTACCCCTCTGGAGGTCTTATACCCATTCATACCGTCTTCCGCATATGAAAGGTTGAAAATCGCAACTTAATCGGAATCCCTCGTTTCTTGCAGTCTCACCAATGGACAATGTCAATACTCTCCTTTCGGTCCTCGCTTTCGTGGTAGTAACCGCTCTCACAGCTGTAAGTTTCTCATCTCGTACGAAACTGGACACTCGTCATGATGATTCCTGTTCATCCTTGTTCTTCGAGTTCTGGGTCGTCTTTCGCGAGATGTACGCCGGGACGCGGACGACACCCTCAGGTCTGGCTTCGAGCCTATAATTGCTGAATACCCACTTGCCCATCCTCGGATACTATCATATGATGCAACTCCATGCTGACACTTACTGCAGGGTCGTTTACTACTGGACTTTTGGACGCCACCACCTATCGTGACACGCGACTCGGAAAAGCGGTTCCGTTCAAGGACGCAGAAGACGCCCGTACCATTACCAACATTATCCGATGAAGCGGAGGTCGACTTGACGGTCATCATACCGGCGTACAACGAGACTGCGCGTCTACCTCTCATGTTGGAGCAAGCGGTCGATCACTTGGCATCCGTACCAGACCGGAGTGCCGAAATCCTCATCGTCGACGACGGTTCGAGGGACGATACAGCCAACTTCGCGCTCGCCCTCACCAAGCGATACGATGATGTCGAAATCCGAGTGTGCGTCCTGGAGAAGAACCTCGGGAAGGGCGGAGCAGTTCGGCACGGGATGTTGCACTCGCGCGGCAAGAGGATGTTGATGGTCGATGCAGACGGCGCAAGTCGGTTCGAGGACCTCGAGCTGCTCTGGGCTGCGATGGACAAACACGAAGACAAGCCGGCCGTGGCTATCGGGAGTCGAGCGCATCTGGTCAAGACTGAAGCAGTGGTCAAGGTATGCGTCTGCGCGTATGTCATGATGATGAGATGCTCAATGCGCGTTGCAGAGATCCATGCTACGCAATTTATTGATGTATGGCCTTCACACCATTCTACGCATTGTCGGCGTAGGCCATATTCGCGACACGCAGTGCGGCTTCAAGCTCTTCTCGCGCCGAGCTGCCCGTGCCATCTTCCCGGCCCAGCACCTCGCAACCTGGATATTCGACGTCGAGCTTCTACTGCTCGCAAAGCAGGCGGCCATACCAGTAGATGAGGTCCCCATCGAGTGGCACGAAGTACCAGGAAGCAAGTTGAACGTCTTCATGGATAGCTTGCAGATGCTCAGGGATCTGCTCGTGTTGCGCGCGAACCAGTTGACGGGAAGATGGGCGGCGCCAAAATGTGTTGATTAGATTGTACGGATTATCATTATTTTATTCGGATCCAGCTTCAGATTGCGTGAATGCAAGTCGGACGAGATGGTATTGAAGCATTATATAGTACATGGTTTGTTGTGAGAGCAGAGCTGACAGGATCAACATAAACAAAGCAAGGAAAGATGCGAGAACAAGATCCAGAGTAGGTATGCATTTGAGTCCATTGTGCAGTCGGAAACCCATGCGCCTCTTCTAGTTCTTCATGAACGTGCCGAACTCGCGGAAGTACGAGTTGACCTTCTCGACGTCCGTGAGCGCCGCGACGGTGCCGACATAGCCGTCGGGCCGGATGATGACCAGAGCGCCCTCGTCGGAGATACCATAGGACTCATACATCTTACCGCCGTTACCCTGCACGTCGGTGTCGTCCAACAACACCTGGGTCCAGTGGCGGCGCAGGACATAAGGCATACGGTTCCAATTGAACGTATCCTTCGTCCCCTTGCAGATCGTGAGCAAGTCGAGCATGCCCTTCTTGTGCACCTCGGAGCGAGAGAAGAACGAATCAGGGTGCTCGAACTGGTCCAGGAAGGCCTCGATGCGACGGACATCGGCGTCGGATGACGTATGGCCGACGAACATCATGACCTTGAAGCGCGTATCGGCGGGGCAGAGGTCCTGGATCTCGAAGCTCTGCGCATCGGCCGCGCGAATGATGCGCTGAGGAAGCAGGCGCTGGCCGACGATGAGACCCTTGGCGGCGTCTTGTTGCTCAGGCACGGTGATTGCGGAGGAAGCGTAGTGGATGCCGATGCCGGATGTGAAAGCGCCGTAGCCCTGGAAGGCGCTATCGGAGAGTCAGCTCCTAGCTCGAGTATGTGGGATCGAAGAGAGGACGTACGCGAGGAACTGTTCATGCGAGAGACCGCCAGGACGGTCATTGTCGAACTTGCCAGAGAACATGGCGGAGAACTTCTTGTCGAAGGCGATGAGATCCTGGGCGTACTTCCGTCGCTCGAACTCATACTATACGATGGATGTGTTAGGGTCTGGCTTAACGGTACACGGCTAGGCCAACGTACGGTCTTGAGCAGCGATAAATCTGCATCTCCCCGAAGCACATGTGCGAGCTTCCAGACTGGAGCGGCGTCAGCAGACGGGCCACGCTAGTCAACCTCCATACGTACTAAGGTTGTGGGTATCATTCATGCTCGCGTTCATGCCTTGACCGGCCTTTGGCGAGTGAGTGTGGCATGCATCGCCTGCGATAAAGACGCGCTCGTTCTTAGAGAAGTCTGATGCGACTCGCTGGCCAACTAGGAAGTTCATCAGACACCCAGGCGATCACCTACCTGTGAGTGCAACGTACTCTGGTAGATGGTCCACCAGTCAATAGTGTCGATGTCGGTGTTGATCGTGTACGGGTGGAAGGACTTCTTTGCAACCTCCATGAGACGAGCAGGCCCGTAGCGCTTCGTGTCGACCCTTCCAGAGACGGGATCCACAGCGTCCGTATCCGTGAGTTGAATGTATAGACGAATCTTGTCGCCCTCACGAGGGATGATCATGCAGGAGCCATTGTGCGAGTGGATCGCAGTCTTGCAGCGGGTATCCGGGAAGTCCGTCGATTCGTCGGGGTACATGTCCACGACACCCCAGATGTAGTCCGTCTGCTCGCCGTCCATCGTGAAACCGCAGCTTTTGCGGACCCAGGAGTGTGCACCGTCGCATCCGACCACGAACTTTGCGCGCACGACCTCGGTCTTCTCCTCAAGTTGATCGCTGTCGGCATCAAGGTGTTGCAGAGTAACCTGATACGGGTCTTAGTGAAGAGCGGGAGAAGGATCGTGGTCCGGCAGTTGCATACCTTGACTGGGTATGCGGTGGGATCGTTCAATTCCTTCTCGTCGTCGGATACTTCCAAGGACACCGGGATGATCGGCCGCTCGACTTCCAGGCCCTCCTTGCGCATAGAGTCCAAGAACAGGTTCTCTATCGCGCCTTGGTGTAGGGTTGCCTGCGCCACACGCACTGATCAGCGGGAGAAGCTTGGACGGTTCGGTTAATGCCGAATCACCTCGTATGGGAAGCGCGCTGTTGGTGCGGTGACGTCGGGTACACGGCCAATACGCTGGGATCGGCGGATCAACGACTGTATTCGCGAGTCTATACGGCGGCGGACTACACACCTCGATGCCGCCATGCGCGGAGGGTTGGTAGAATGCCTATTGCAGACGGCGCATCAGTATATTCCTGCATGTATGCGCCCCCGATAACACTCACAGCCATAATCATCTGCGCGGACTGGTCGAGGAGTGGTCGCGCAAGTCCGTAGCTCTGCATGTCCAATGAGCAACCGACACTCGAGCTGTGGCGCTCCGCAGCTTACCTGTAGAACCTCGAGGGTGCGTGGTTGAATGCCATCGGCTTGGCCTGCCGCGACCTTGACTGGTCTGATGCGAAGTTTCAAAAAGCGCGCTTGACGCGTGGAATGAAGCAGACGAACCTCTTGTCGATGATGCGGACGTTCACACCGGCGCGCGCAAGTCCGTTTGCGCACATGACGCCAGCGGGACCAGCACCGATGACGAGGACGTCGACCTCAGACTCGGTAGTAGGGGCCATTCGTATAAGATCCGATCCGATGAAATTGGTTGAAGTGTCTGATGCGGGGTAGGATAGCTCGGGTGGTTGAACTGGCATGTCTCGGAGTGCACTCGTAGCTTATATACGTGCAACGCCATCTAGCTCCGGGGGTCATCCGCCACACACGAATGAATCAACGAGAAAACCAACCGCAGACAACAAGCGCCCTGGGCATACATCTTGGGGCGGCGTACTCACCATAAACGGTGGACGCGTTCACTGTGTTCCTATCTGGTGCATGTCCGGATACCGCGTGTGTAGGCTTCTCTACGCCGGACGCGTTGTGACTGGTTACTTTTTGGAAGAGATCAGCCTGTGAACTCTGAGAGACTGTGGGAGTTCGGAAGCCACACCGGGTTTGGGCTACCTGTAGGACGGCCAGCCAGCACTCGGCGCCCTGTACGGCCTCCGTAATCGACAGTCGCGTTCTCTGGGGTGGCCCGGCGTTCTCAGATCAGGTGCGGGAAGTTCAAAATTGACGGTGCACGCCTCCGCGAAGCGGGTGCGTAGTAATCGACAGCCTTGATGACGTCCACTCTGCATGGTAAACTGCTTCTTTCGCGACCAAATCGAGCAGTGGGATACTCGCGGCTCTCGCTTCGCACAAGGAGCGGTGCTACCCGTGATACGCGTTCTTGGACGGAGCTTGCGCTGCAAACCCCAGTTTACGAATGCTTGACGTCGGAAGAAAGCTGGTGAAAGCGCCAATAGATCAGTGCGCATCTCAGCATCAATGCAGAACAAGGGTCGTCAATGGAAGTGAACGGCATTGAAAGGGTTGAGTAAGCCGTGCGAGATAGGCTTTTCTGTAGGCGCTCACCGGCCCAATGAAGCATTCAATCCTCTTCGGAGGCAAGAGGGTGACAGAAAATCCGCGCCTATGAATCGGGTTCGTCGAGGGGTCTGACAGGTTTTGATGAGACATGACAGGCGCCGCG